TCAGTCTAGGTCCATATATAAAGTTAGCACCCTTGGAACCCACATCATTACCATATTTCAGTCTAGCTTATTATATAAAGTCACCACCCTTGGAACCCACATTATTACCATATTTCAGTCTAGCTTATTATATAAAGTCACCACCCTTGGAACCCACATTATTACCATATTTCAGTCGAGGTCCATATATAAAGTTAGCACCCTTGGAACCCACAATATTACCTTATTTCAGTCAAGGTCATTATATAAAGTCAGCACCATTGGAACCCACATTATTACCATATTTCAGTCTAGCTTATTATATAAAGTTGGCACCCTTGGAACCCACATTATTACCATATTTCAGTCGAGGTCCATATATAAAGTTAGCACCCTTGGAACCCACAATATTACCTTATTTCAGTCTATGTCCATATATTAAGTCACCACCCTTGGGACCCACAATATTACCATATTTCAGTCTAGATCCATATATAAAGTCAGCACCCTTGGAACCCGAAATTTTACCATATTTCAGTCTAGGTCATTATATAAAGTCAGTACTCTTGGAACCCACAATATTATCATAAATATGTCTAGGTCCATATATAAAGTCAGCACCCTTGTAACCCACAATTTCACCATATTTCAGTCTAGGTCCATATATAAAGTCAGCACCCTTGTAACCCACAATTTCACCATATTTCAGACTAGGTCCATATATAAAGTCAGCACCCTTGGAATCCACAATTTTACCATATTTCAGTCTGGTCCTTATATAAAGTCAGCACCCTTTGAACCCACAATAGTACCATATTTCAGTCTAGGTCATTATATAAAGTCAGAACCCTTGGAACCCACAATTTTACCATATTTCAATCTAGGTTCAAATATAAAGTCAGCACCCTTGGAACCCACAATATTACCATATTTCAGTCTAGGTCATTATATAAAGTCAGAACCCTTGGAACCCACAATTTTACCATATTTCAGTCAAGGTCATTATATAAAGTCAGAACCCTTGGAACCCACAATTTTACCATATTTCAATCTAGGTTCAAAACCCAGCAATAATAATGTTTTATCACGTTATATACGACGACTGAAAGGTGAATATAAACCCATTTTCACTGATTACAGTTTAATTTTCATTATGTGTGTAATCCCATTTCGTTTCGCTTCTTCGATTACAACAAGCCGTGTTTGCGCCCTCTATACTTTACAGCATATAGTGCTCACATGGTGTATTTTTTAAAATTCTTCACTTAACGCCCTCACTGTCTGTTATAACAATGTCTTTCGAAAATTCTTTGGCTATATGTTTGACTGCAGTGCTAGCTCTGTGTTTGTTTCTAACAGCAATAGCATTTTATTGTGTACAAGTGTGCGAACGTCTATGAATACTGCAGTAGCATTTGTGTGTAATAGTGACCTTGTTTGGTCATCTAATCTGTGGCAACACTGGAGAAAATCTATTCATTAATATCGCAGGGCTGGGTTTTATGGGAAAATGATGTATATAAACATTGCCAATTTTAACAACACAAGGTCCAATGCAAAAATATAGGAGAACTTAATTATTTCTGTTTTTCCATCATTGAGGGCGAGCATATCACGCAAGATTATATCTGGGTAGTGAGTAGCGCCCTCTCACAACTAGTATATTATAAATAACACCTTTTGTTATAACCCAATGTAAAAATATTTTTACAAGGAGGCACTGTACACGGTCATGTAAATAATCCTCAAACAAATCTAACGTTTTCTCACGTATTCCGAAACGGTATTTTATACGATGAAGTGCTATATCGTGGTCAATCGAAAACAGATGATAAATCGACAAAATATAATTTGTTGCGATAACTGCTAAGTGAATTGTTTGTTTATTAACACATGGGATTTTAAATCGATTTTCTTGAATTCAACACTTTCCGCATCGATAATTTCAAAGGTGCTGTTTATATTGTCGCTTGGTTACAACCTTATGCCAAGGTAATGTTTTACGTCACACAATGTTAGCAAGCACACACACACATAGAATTAAAATATCACGCGCGGATACAACCCGCAAAAAAGAAAAACAATTGAAAAAAAACAGCCCACTGGAGGTGCGCGCCACTGCGCGGACGTGGCCTTCGGAAGAAGCGCGCCCCTTATCGAATATCTGGATCCGCCAGTGAAGATTACAAAGCGAAATAATATGCAAATGATGATGTGAGTTTACTATCAGTCCGATGATTAGTAGAGGGTTATATCAAAACACAACTATATTATGAGTATTTTATAATTAACACTTCCACTAAATGTCAACTTGGCTGTCACTCAAATTCAAGTCTTGTTCATAATTCGTCAAATAAACGATGATAACATCTTTGTTGATTTTACATCCTTCCTGCACTAACAGTTTTCCCACATGCACCACTGTAACCTAGGAGTCGCCATCTTGGAATATGCCAAAATTATTCTTACTTTCAAATGAGTAGCATTAATCCATATCCTCATTTCTTTCCTCAAATGACGTCACGTGATCTAGTTTTTCCCTGAATTGTCTTACTTGCAGGGTATATATTCTTCCAAAGAGCGCATGTCCACTACCGTGATCAGTAATACGGAGCTTGTTTTGTTAGAAGATTATTCAGAGATAAAGTATCAGTGGGGACACCACACCTCGTCACCCTGCCTTGATGCAACCTGGCGCGTGAACACAATGGTTCAATTCACTATTGTACGATTTGATAATATATATATAATAATGTTATTCAAAATATATTTTACCCGCTTCTTCAGTAGCAAATATGAAAATCTGTAATCAATGTAATCGTCCATTTTGAAAAAAAGCTTGATTAAATGTGAGTCAACATATTAGGGTATAGTTTGCTTTTTTTTATTTATTGTTATTAAAATATAATAAACTCATGATGAATTGTTATATTACGTGAATTACTTTTAACAGTGTACAATAACACACTTCATTTTGGAAAACAAAGCAATATATGTCAGATTGTAAAATGTGTTGTACAATAAGACACTTCATTTTGGAAAACAAAGCAATATATGTCAGATTGTAAAATGTGTTGTACAATAACACACTTCAATTTGGAAAACAAAGCAATATATGTCAGATTGTAAAAAGTGTTGTACAATAACACACTTCATTTTGGAAAACAAAGCAATATATGTCAGATTGTAAAAAGTGTTGTACAATGACACACTTCATTTTAGAAAACAAAGCAATATATGTCAGATTGTAAAAAGTTTTGTATAATGACACACTTCATTTTGGATAACAAAGCAATATAGGTCAGATTGTAAAAGGCTTTGTACAATGACACACTTCATTTTGGAAAACAAAGCAATATATGTCAGATTGTAAAAAGTTTTGTACAATGACACACTTCATTTTGGATAGCAAAGCAAAATATGTCAGATTGTAAAAAGTGTTGTACAATAACACACTTCATTTTGGAAAACAAAGCAATATATGTCAGATTGTAAAAAATGTTGTACAACAACACACTTCATTTTGGAAAACAAAGCAATATATGTCAGATTGTAAAAAGTTTTGTACAATGACACACTTCATTTTGGATAGCAAAGCAATATATGTCAGATTGTAAAAAGTGTTGTACAATGACACACTTCATTTTAGATAACAAAGCAATATATGTTAGATTGTAAAAAGTGTTATACAATGACACACTTCATTTTGGATAGCAAAGCAATATATGTCAGATTGTAAAAAGTGTTGTACAATGACACACTTCATTTTAGATAACAAAGCAATATATGTCAGATTGTAAAAAGTGTTGTACAATGACGCACTTAATTTTGGATAGCAAAGCATTGTATGTCAGATTGTGAGCAGTGAATAACAATAGCACACTTCGTTTTGGATAACAAAGCAATATATGTCAGATTGTAAAAAGTTTTGTACAATGACACACTTCATTTTGGATAGCAAAGCAATATATGTCAGATTGTAAAAAGTGTTGTACAATGACACACTTCATTTTGGATAGCAAAGCAATATATGTCAGATTGTAAAAAGTGTTGTACAATGACACACTTCATTTTAGATGACAAAGCAATATATGTTAGATTGTAAAAAGTGTTGTACAATGACACACTTCATTTTAGAAAACAAAGCAATATATGTCAGATTGTAAAAAGTTTTGTACAATGACACACTTCATTTTGGATAACAAAGCAATATATGTCAGATTGTGAATAGTGTTGTACAATGACACACTTCATTTTGAAAAACAAAGCATTATATGTCAGATTGTAAACAGTGTTGTGCAATGACACACTTCATTTTGGAAAACAAAGCAATATATGTCAGATTGTGACAAGTGTTGTACAATGACACACTTCATCTTTGATGAGAAAGCATTATATCTCAGATTGTAAAAAGTGTTGTACAATAAATACACACTTCATTTTGGACAGCAAAGCAATATATGTCAGATTGTAAAAAGTGTTGTACAATACACACTTCATTTTGGATAGCAAAGCAAAATATGTCAGATTGTAAAATTTGTTGTACAATGACACACTTCATTT